CCAGTAGGATGATTCTTAATAAATGAAAGGAATTGGCTAAGCAGACATATTTGAGAACTCCTTTCCAGACAGAGATTTCATGGGAAAGTGGAAGAAAATGAAGTAGCCTGCTAAGAAAGAGCTATAGTTAGTTCTCTTTGACTGGTGCATAAGGGATCAGTTGGATCATTCTGAGTGATGAGAGTAGAGAGACTGAGATAGCGACAGGGGAAAGGAAAGGATGGATTCTGGAGATTGTTAGAAGAAGGGTCATTAGGACTTGGTGACTGATTAACAACCACAGGGAAGAAAAACTATGAGGATAACAACAGAACAGGCCTTACTAATAATATTTTTCTATGTGTTTTAATAATTTATAGTGCAAAAGATGGGATATTCCGCCGTTACCGTGGGCCAGGAATCTATGAAGATCTTCAAAATTATATCTTAGAGAAGAAATGGCAATCAGTTGAGCCTTTGACTGGCTGGAAATCCCCGGCTTCTCTAACGTAACTATTATTATTATTTTTTAATGGCAAGGTGTTATTAATATAACAGGGAGGTATCAACTTACCAGCCTATGGACTTCATAGTTATTTCTTGTTTTAAGACGACACATGAATGTACCTGATCTGTGTGGTGTTTCCTGTCTAGGACCCATATATGTTTCTGCTAATTGCTAGTATAGTAGAAATTAAGCATCCATTTTCACATGGCACAGAAAGCTTGTGCTCTAGTTTGTGCACTGCACCGTGCTAGCTGTTTTCTCCTTATAAAACATGGTGTTGAATATTATTTACTGTTCTTTCTTTTAAATTATTGATAATCTAAACATGTAAATCCTTCTTGAATTTTAGTTCATGAAGAAATTGCTATTTGTGTGTGTGTGTGTGTAAAATAAAAACTATGTTATCTTTGGTTGTCTGGAAGACTACTGCTAGGGGTAATTTCAGCCATAATGGCAAACTGTAATACTTGGTAGTAAGGTAGATAAGGTTAATCCATAATAACATTTTTCACAGTTGATTTTAATTTCATAGTTAATTTTCATACACATATACATACATGCATATGTATGATATATGTATGTATATAAATAGAAGCAATATCCCCAATGAAGCAGGAGCAAATCATGAAATATTTTGAATAAATGAATAAATCATCTACTGGCATCCTTTTAATACCCAGGAAAAACAAAACTAACTCTTAAAACAGCTTATCTCTGGCATCTCAGTCTACAAATATTTAAGCACTGAGCTTATTTCATGTAGTCTCTTAGATGCTAGATATTACAGCAGTAAATAGATATGTGTGGTCCCTTTGCTTCCTTGAACAAAACACTATAGAGATACAAAGAAAGGCTAGATAAAGATCACTTAAAAACACTTTTCCTGAAATAGATTAACTGTGGGTCACTGACCTCTGTTAGATGAAGGGACTTGAAGTTACTCTTCAGGGAGGACAGAAAGATATCTGAGGGCCAGAAGAACCTTGCTCAAGTAAAAGGCAGGAGAGAACTATCTCTATGAAAGGACACAGATGTGCCGAGGCCCCAAGTTGGAAAGAACATGATGTGCTGAACAGGGACCAGAGTTAAACATACTGCAGGGGAGAAGAGTAGTTAAAGGAGTATGAGAAAAAAGCTGGCACTGCATCTGAAAGGCCTGTAGCCACTGTGAGCAACTTGGATGTTAGCACTACAGATTCTGAGTAGTGGCTCCTAGAAGAAGACACTGGAGAGGGCAAGAGTGGGTGAGATATGGCAATTAACTTAGGTAAGGTCTAGCCTGGAGATAGCAGTGGTATGTATGAGCATGGCAGATCTGGAGATGGGGAAAACGATGTACTTTGAAGGTAGAGTGCCCTGAGGTAAAAGAGAGGGAAGATTCATGAAACACAATTCCCGGGCTTTAGGTTTGTGCATTTGGTGGATCCTGGTACCACTTACTGATGTAAGCAAGAGAAAAATTAAGGGTTCATGGTAAATTTGAGAGGCAGACTTATTTGTAGAGCTGTCAGGTTGAATGGAGGGAGATGAGTCTCCATGATCAAAAACAAAGAGTATATTATTAAGAAGGGGATACCTAGAGACAGAAGAAAGAGAAAAGTGATACTGACATATCCTCAAATTAACAAGTTTGGTGGAGAAGGAGTCATCAAAAGGAAACCAAAAATGAGAATCAATGCAGAAGGATAAGCTAGGGTGTGTGGTTTTGTAGAAACCAGGAGTGCTCCAAAAATGCAGGAGCAGCCACTTATGTCCCATGTTATGAAGAGGCGAAGGAAGGTCAACTCTAGACATGGACTTGAAAGAAGTGGTGAGAGTTCATTGTGGACTCTGTAAGTAGGGATATTGCTTAGTGAAATCAATTGAGATTTGAATGGGTTAAAGATAATGGTGAGGAAGTGAACACAGGGTAGACTACTCTTTGAAGAAGTTTGTCTGTGAAGCTGGAGGGCCATTGAGTGCCAGGGATTATCTGGTTATAAGAATGAGAATGGGCATAACAGGTCATGCTGATGACAGTGATCCAGCAGAAAGGAGAAGTTGCTAATACAGCAACAGGGAATGACAGAAAGAACAAAGCCATTACCAAACCAAAGGAATGGAATCCAAGGCTCAAATGGAGGAGTTGGATTATGATGTGGGAGATGTTTTCTGGTGTAACAGCAAAAAATGGGTGCAGGTGTGCAGCAGGCTCAGCTTTGGTATTGGGAAGACAGGAGAGAACACAAAATAGCTTCTCATTTCCCAGTGACAGGTAAGGAGTGTTCATTGGCTGGGAACATATGGACAAGTAGGGCAAATCAAGTTTAAAGAGAGGGGAAGAAGTGCCTGAGCTAGCCTCTCAGACTTTAAAATGTTGTAAGTACTCACTGATTTTTATGCTTTGAAGGAAGGCCCATTCTCTGGTCATATAATTTGCCCCTCAGGATTGTGAGCTGCTCAGGGTTGGGACTTTGCCAAGTATATAGAGTGGAGGGAGTATGGATCAGGTGATTTGAATGTATTTTAGAAGAGTGATTGAACTAGTGGGTGTAGGAATTAAGCTCGCTAAGAACAGAAGTGAATCCAGGAAAAAGGACTTTGTTTTGCAGAAATAGAGGAGCTGTCTTGGTGACTTCAGTTTTGTTTATTTTCCCTAGTATATGTCACTAGTGGTTCTCCTACTCTTTATTTTTTTAGGATGTCTGGAATGGCTGGTCTTTTTAGCATCTCTGGCAAAATATGGGTGAGTAATCTTAAATATATCCTTTATGATTATCTTTGCAGATGATTTTATAAAATGTAAATTTTAAATGATAAGAAAATAACACTGTATTTCTATAATTGCATTTTTTTTTCTTAGCCACACAACTACTGTCATATGGGGACCCCAATAAAAATATATCTTTGTGTAGGAAGGCACAAATTGAATAAAGAACATTGATTGCAGTGTCAAATCTTATTACTTAGATCAGTAAATCTCTTTGCCAAAGTTGAAAGGAATTTTACTTCATCTTATTTTCACACTGTCATAATTCCTATAGAGTAAAATCTATTATGTAATCCTAAAAGTGATTTCTGTATGTCAGGAGTCAACAACTACAGTATGAGGCTGGTCTCCAATTTTTTTTTGTATATATTTTATTTATTTATACATACAGAACTGGGGTACAGGCCAGAGGTGCAGGGGCGGTGAGAGGATTCACCAGATACAGAGTGGGGAACAGAACAGGCTGACGAAGTACACTGCTGAGGGGAGCAGCGGGCAGTCAGGAGAGGTCTGTCACGCCATGTGGTCACCTGCGGGGCAGGCAGGGATTGAACTAATGCGGAAGTGGCTTTATCTTCTTAGTGCTGTGCTTTAACCCACTGTGCCACTAGGGAGGGCCCTGATTTCCAACTTTTTATAAATAAGGTTTTATTAGAACACTGTCATATTTATTACCTAGTACTTATGACTGCTTTCAGTTTACTGTGGTGGAGCTGAGTAATTGTGATAGAGATCATCTGACCAGTTGCTTAAAATTGTTCTTTAAGAAAAAGTTTGCATATCTCTGGTATATATAATTGTAAAATTTCATTTTATTGAATTAAAACTATTATTTAGACTAAAATATTTACATTATATCTTGAGTATGTCACATAACTTTTTCTTCCCCTTTATGTGTACGGTGGGCTAAACTGCCAAATTTAACAAAAGTACTGTGAAATTAAATATATAGCCTTTGGAGCATTTCAAAAAAATCTTTAGAAGTGAGTCCCTATGCTATATTTTCTAATCTATGTTTGCAGAGTAGAATTTGTGATTGTCACATTTAGAACTTAATATTCAACAAGCTCATGAAGACTCTTTCATACATAATGATATATTTTGAGGAAAATTTAAGAACAACTTTTCATTTCCCAGTTTATCAGTTTTGTTTTATTCTTCTCATTATGATGTAACATACTAAACCTAGGAATTTTTTGTTGTTGTTTTTTATTACAGATGCTACATTGGTTACTTAGATTCAATAGTTTTAATTAGAATTTAACTTTTTGATACGCGTGTCAATTAGTATCAGAAATTAAACAATAACTGTTATTCTCCTTCTCTCCAGATAGTATGAGTTTCAGATGGTTTCTTTTTAGTATTTTAACATTGGGGAAACATTAATTTTAGAGCTAAGGACTACAAACTGGTAATCGAGAATAAGGTATACAGTATGTAGACCCTGGAGCCCACCTATCCTGACAGCCATTTGAGATTTCTGTAGCCTTATGATATCTAATTCAGCAGGGTAATTATAATGGGAGATAATGAGGAATCACAGAGCAAGGTGTTAACTTAGAACCAGCTTACGAAAGCTTAGATGAGAATTAATCATAACCTTTAAGCCTTGTTAAAGAGGAGTTATGCTTTCAAAGACAGTACCAGGCAAGATAGGAAATTGCTCTGGCCTTACATAACTTGACATTTAGTGCTTAGAAAAGAGTTTAGATAAGGAGTTACCGTTTTTCAGTACCTCAATATTTCAGTATAAATGATTTTAGTATGTGATACTATCATGTTAAGGCCAGGATTGGGTGAAATGTCATCTTCAGTCAGTCCTCTCACTCCTGTCTGTATAAAGGCAAATTAGCTTTTATCAATTGTCTCTTAGCATAGTATAATAGTATAAGATATGAGACACTTCTGGCCATGTTGTTGAGCATTTTTTTTTTAAGATTGTTTATTTATTCATACAGAACTGGGGTACAGGCCAGAGATGTGGGAGGGTGAGAGGATTCACCAGAGACAGTGCGGGGAGCAGAACAGGCAGATAGATGAAGTACACTGCTGAGGGGAGCAGCAGGCGGGTCAGGAGAGGTCTGCCTCACCATATGGTCTCCTCCGGGGCAGGCGGGAATCGAACTCATGCTGAAGTGGCTTAAGCTTCTTAGTGCTGTGCTTTAACCTGCTGCGCCACCAGGGAGGGCCCGTTGTTGAGCATTTTAAGGGACCAGAGTAGGAACCTTCCTTGTGATGAGCACATATAGTCTTAAGCAAGGATCATTATTTTCCACAGAAAAAAAATTCACTTTAGTAACCTGAAATTTAATTATATTGAATGCAACTATTTATTACTTGTGTGTGTGTGTGTGTGTGTATATATATATATATATATACACACACACACACAGTGAAACTTCAAGTAACAAGTATCATGGACCCTACCATTCTTAAGATGCTTTGAAATCACTGTGGATTCAGACAAATAGGAAAAGATTTATGTCTACAGTTGTGAAAACACAACTTGACTATTGAGACTTCAGTAATAATTACCTAAAAGACCACAAGATGGCAGGATTTCTCTAAGAAGTTCAAATCTTTTAAAGAGTAAGGTGATACAGGAAAATTAAAGTGGAGCTTAGTAAAATTAGAGGATGTTTTGAATGCTAACAAATGTGACTTAGTGATTCGGAGTAAATAACTGACTGAATTTGAGAAAATAACTTGGAGTATTTCTTGAATATTCTTTAATCATTTATTTTGCACTAGGGGGCATAAGACTGTTCAGGACTTGTAATTGCACATTATTCATTCTAACTATATAAGTAAAGCAAATGGGTGGTTATTATTTATAAAGCACACTCCAGAATACATACATTCATGCATCAGCACTAAGCAGACTGACTTTCCGCATCTTTAATTCTTTGGCAAATTTCATAGTTTAATCATGAGTCATCAAAAAAGTAAAAAATATAAACCATGTTCATTACACAGAATTTTCTAAAGTAGGGAACTGCACAATGCATTTTAGACCTTTTTTGTGAAGAGTTTGAACCAACCTTTTGATATCCCAAATACCTCTTTTACCTGCTGGACTATAGAAAGCTAAATTATTAATAAAAATCTGTCCTAGCTGAAGATAGAATGATAACCACTGCTGTAAGGACAGATGGCAATTTCAGAGTTGTTTGCATTTCCTGTGAATAAGGAAATGAGAAATTTGCCTGTGTCTTTTCTGTCTTCAATAAATAGTTATTGAATACTTTGATTACATGTGTCATTGTGTGAAGTTTTGGTTGAGTCTAGTATATATCTTTATGCTATATTTATGCTTTAATAAGAAATTGAAAAGAGGTATCTCTTTAGGTGATTTTATATCTGTTAACTTTGTTACTTTGGTTTACTTTATCATTTAGAACTGTGCCAAAATAAAGTATATTAAATGGGTTTAGCATTTATAAACTGAGAATGCAGTGAGAGTTACTGTAGTAATTTATATTTTGAGAATTATTAATTTGCTATTAAATGAATTCTATTATTAGAAACTTGGATTCATTTTCATCAAACTCTTAAGGTCTAGGTAAGTTATTCAGTCATAATCTCTGCAGCTGTGATATCTGACTTTAGTTCATTTCATTCTGTGCCCAGTCGTCACTCAGATTAAGTGGATGATTACTTTTGCAGCTAGAAGGGCCTAAAAGGGATGGTCACTGAACAGTCATGAAGAGTCATGGTTTCTGCAAGTTCATATCTAGGTGGGACTTAACTCCAAAATATCCATTTCTTTTCTGTAATTTCTGTGTGAGCTAGCATGAAGATGATTTCTAACTAAGTTTATAGCTCTTCATTTGTTTTTTGAGTGTTAGATATTAAGTAGAGTTGCAGGCAACAGTAAGTGTGAAGGGATGTGCCCTTTACTCAAAGATGAATAAAATCTCACATGCACATAATGGATTAATTAGAAAAGCTTTCTCCTACCTAATATTAAATTTTGGTTTTATGGGGATTCAAGAAAGTTGTGAAGGCTTGGTGATGGTAGAGAAATGAGAATATTTGATTAAAAAAAGAAAATAGAGAGACATTGTAAGAAGTTAATTCTCTTTAAGTAGTAACTTAGTTCTACTTAAAAATTGGTGAAGACCCCAGGAATTTAATTTCTTGTGGATGCCATAATATGAGTAAAAGTTGAGATGTAGCTATTTATTAGGGGGAAGGGACCAAAATATTCTTACAGTAGAGGAAGGAACTAGAGAAACAGTTCTACCAGAGTGCTACCAGATTATGAACTCCAAAGAAATGTAACACTTATTAGCTGTGACCTTGAATATCAGTCTCTGAGCAATATAAAATTTGACTTGTTCCTGAAGAATCATACAGAAGCATAAATCATGATGTATGACTTTTGTGTGAGCTCATATATGTAGAAAAACTTGCATACTGAATTATAGCTAGAGAGAAAGATTCAAAGATTCAAAGATTTTTCCATCTTCAAAATAAATAAGTTATGTTCTTCTGGTTACAGCATCTTCACAACTATTTCACTGTGACTCTTGGAATTCCTGCTTGGTGTTCTTATGTCTTTTTCATCATAGCAACCTTGATTTTTGGTCTTTTCATGGGTCTGGTAAGTTATACCACTAAACTTTTTCCCAGTCTTTAAAGCCACATTGGTTTCAAGGGAAACTAGAAAGCAGCCAAGAAATAACAGGCACATAAACAAACATCATTACTCTTAAGGGGTTGAATAGCATTTGCTTGTTTGTACTGCTTTTTATAGTATTTTGAGGTTGAGTTATAATGGAAAATTCATTAAATCATTGAATCCAAATCCTATCCCTTAAATATTCTGAGATACGAGCTGCCTATCAGAGACCATACTTAAATTGATAGTTTCCAAGATAAACAAGTCAGCAGCGAGTTCATACATTTCCTACATGACTGAAATACTAGTGATAAGGCCAAAGCTGTGAATTTCTTCCTTGGGTGAACAAGATGATTTTTGTTCATATCCTCCAGTTGACCCGCTAAACCTGAGTTGCCATTTAACATACACTTTCTGGTTTTCCTAAGATACTATATGTATTTTTCTATTTATGTATATAAGAACTGGAATTTAGGCCAGAGGTGTGTGGGGTTGGGGTGGGGGGTGGTGGAGAGGGATTCACTAGAGATAGAGTGGAGAGCAGAACAGGCAGGCAAGTCTGCTGAAAGGAGCAGCAGGCGAGACAGGAGAGGTCTGTTGTGCCAAGCTTTCTGGCTTTCTGGCTTGAAATTGAACTTATGCCACAGAGTCTGGTGATGAGGCTCTAAGATGACCAGTTTTATAAGATAATGAACAAGTAAATAATCATTATTTGAAGGACAAAAGCAAAATACAAAGTACATAAATGTTTTTCTTGGGTTTGAAAATCAGTGTCATTTGGTATCTTGTGCATTCTAGCTATACTCTTAGGTAAGAGTTGGAATAACACATTTATTAACCATATAGACAACTGTGTTTTAACAAGTTTAAATCTTTGATATATTTTTAAAAAATCTTTACCTACACTTGATTGATTTGATCGAGTTTTAAATGCTAAGCCATGGACTGGAATGCACTGTGCCAAGGAGCTTTTAGTTTATCAAAGGAAACTAGCTAGAAACTGTAGCTAGGCTTATAGTAAGAAAATGACTCCTTCTGGAATCAAGGTTGAAGGTAAAATTAATCAGTCATGTTTAAAATAACATTTAACTCTTACCATTAATGAATTTTTTTTCGCTAATGAGTATATTTAAAAATTTCTTATAGTACTCTTAAAGATTCTAGACCCTAAAATGTTTGTCACACTTGGAGGTACTCACTGGTGAGAAGAAGTCTATGTATAGATTAGTTTTGTTTGCCAGAAAGGTTTTTTTTTTTTTAAAGACCAATATTTTAGAGTAGGGTTATTTTCTTCTACCTTCATAATTCATCAGTTTTTAATGAGTCATGTGTAGACATTGACTTTGTGACCCCTGTCCTGCATTAATAGTATTTTTCTGTATTATATCACATTTGAAAACTAGTAAATTCTTCATGATGGCTAGGTCATTTTTTAAGGGCTTTTGAACAGCTTGCTAATTAGTTACAATGAATATCTGGTTCTAGAGCCATTGAGGTTCTTTGGTAATATCTGTCCTATAAAATTACTTTTTTCTTCCAGGTGTTGGTGATAATATCAGAATGTTTCTATGTGCCACTTCCAAGGCATTTCTCTGAGCGTTCTGGTAAGTATGTTTAGATAATGTGATAGAGTTTCTTTCAGAATTCTGTTTTGTGCTCTTGTAGAAAGGATTTTCTCCATTGTATATGCTGGGTACCCAAAGCATCACCACCGCCAAATACCTGAGATATGTTCTTTAGAGTGATTTGAGGAAAAATTAGGGAATTTTTTTTTTAAATTAGGGAGTATTCATTTTCTCAGTTGTTTATTCCCTACTATGCACTTCACTAATAAGTTAATGAGAAGTACGAGAGAGGAACCCACTTTTATTGAGTCACTAATGTACCACTAGCCATCTTAAGCCCGAGGCTTAAGAAAGCAGTCTCCCCCCCAAGGCTTTTAAAAAGTGCTTCTGGTATTTCTGGGACTAAATAACCCTGGATTTGAGTATTTTCAGTTCCTATTTGAGACTTTGCATGATGACTTTTTATGAAACTTGTTGAATTTTAAGTGGTAGTTGAATTAGCTTATATTTATAGTTCTTGAAGTTTTCAAGATTTTAAGGCTTTCATAGATGATGATATATGTTCTGTTCCTTAGATTTCTTAAAAGTCACAGAAACCCAATTTAAAGCAACTTAGCTCATATAAATATAATGTCCAAGGATGTTTTGACTTCAAGCACAGCTTAAGGATGTTAGATTTCTGTTTCCATGAGGCTGATTCAGTGGCTGTAACAGCCTCAACTCACATTTTTCAGTGTAGCAGTCCTCATGGAAAGAAAGTTTTCTTCCTTACCCTGGGTAAAACTCCTGGGAAGTATTCTTATTGACTCATCTTAAGTCACATTTATGAACCAATCACCATGACCAATGGGTGGAACCTCTACAAGGTACAAAATGCCAAGCATGAAGGCATCCATATCCACATGTCCTGCCAACATGAGTGAAATCTCCAGAGAGGGAATGAGAAGCTCTGGTTGGGGTGGGACTCCAATGAGACATCTGTCCCATGTGATAACAGCTTCAGATGGAGAGAACTGTCATTGCATCATTGTTTCATTTCACAGCTAACTGTACTCAGTTGATTTTGGTATGACCATTGGCTATTCAGAGAAGATTCTTTTCTTTTCCCTCCACAGAGCCCAGTCGAAGGTCAGATGAGGCTCATAGGGCTGAACGCTTGCAGGATGCAGAGGAGGAAAAAGATGATTCAAATGAAGATGAAAACAAAGACAGCCTTGTGGATGATGAAGAAGAGAAAGAAGACCTTGGTGATGAAGACGAAGCAGAGGAAGAGGAGGAGGAGGATAGCCCTACTACTGGTGCGGATGAGGAGAGGAGTGATGCCAAGGTCCAGGGGCCCCTGACAGAGGCCCAGAAGGAGGTAGAACTTGATGAGACTGAAGAAGATGTTCCTGAGCAGCCCCCTTCAGCTGACACAAAGAGCCCAGGAGACACATTGAGGCAGCGCAAAAGTCACCATGCTGATAAGGGGTCATAGGTTTAGTGACAGTATTTCCAAGAACAGACCAGAGGAATATCTCAGCTTCCCTCTGATTTGCAGTTTAAACCAAATCCTTACTTTTTCCTGAGTGAGCTAGCTTCTCTTAAAAAACAAAACAAAACAGAGCAACAATCTCTGGTCATGTGGTTTCATGGCATTAAGCCTCATGTATATAAATAAAACCTTCAGGCATGACAATCAGGGTACAGAAAAATAAACATGATGTTCAAATCTGTTTGAGGGCTTGGATGGGCATAAGTTAATTTACTTTGGGGCTAGAGAGTCTCCCTTATATCAAGGAACCCCGGGCCCCCAATCAGCCTATTCATAGGCAAAGCTGTAGGTAGGCATCAGATGCAAACCAAGCATCCTGAGTCTCTCAAGATACAGTTGAAATCTTGCCTCTCATGCTTGATACTTAATTTTATCAAACTAAGAAACATCACATGCCATAGTGTAGACTCACTTTCAGAAACAGAAATTGAGAAGGCTCTGGACATTATTTTAGAAAAGAGTTTGAATGTCATCCCATCCCTCCAAATCTCCTTTGTTATATTTTACTATGATCTTGAGTTTTATTAACTTTCCTACCTTGGGCCTACTGTCTCCCCACACTCTTCACCATACTTCCTTAGTGAGAGGGCTCAGACAGCAGCTGACTCTTGACATTAGTTGTATTTATTTTGATTTGAAGATTTAGAAATCAAGAACCACAACCATGAAATCTTGACTGCCAGGCATCTTAAATGAAATATTGTAACCTTTGGAGATTAAAAAGGAAGTAGGGATTTTATAGGAGACACTTTTGTTTTTTGCCAAAAAGTTTTTTTTTTTTTTTTTTCAAAAAGTCCTTCAGCATTATTCTTTTTAAAGCCAGAAGTTCCTAAGTTTTTCCTTCACAAGGTTGTCTTATAAAGAAAACTTGAATACTATGTTATTTTGTTTCTGTCTCAAGGGGATCCCTGGCTCTTGAACTGCTTTAATAATAACTAAAAAAACATTTCTGTTTTCCCTCAGTAATGTGCTTTTGGTGAAAGAATAATGAAAGTGAATATATCTGGAAATGAAAGATTTTGTTTCGTTTCCTTCTTTCTTAATCTTGTAAAGAATTGTATCCCTGTAAATCTCTCAATACTCAATCTACCAAAAGTACCCTAGAGGCTCAATTTCTTCTTAAAAATCCATCCATCTACTTTGGCCTCCTCTGATTTATGTCTTAGAATAAATTCACAAAATTAGATTCCAAACTTATGAAAGATGACTAACGTTAATCCTATATCCCTTGAGTCCAGACAGAATAACTAGTATAGGTTTATGAAATTCTAAAAAGTTTCTCTCATCTTTAAAAGAAATATGCAGTATACATCTATCTGGATGCTTAGCTAACCCTTTCTTTGTATTCACTTAGAACAGAGGCTCACTGAGGGAGAGGGAACTTTTGAAGCTCGCTATGCTTATGTAGTTGAATGGGCCTATTGGAAGCCTTGCACAAAGGGAGTTTTTATTCTGACAGAATCCCAATTCTAAAGATAGTTTATATTTCATCTTTCCTACTAATGAACCTGATAGTCATATACCCATTATGCTGACGTTAATTAAAAATTGCCAATAGTTTTTCTCTTCACACAACATAAACTGAAATTTTGAGACCAGTACAGTATTGACTGCAAGAACCTCAGCACGTGCCAGTTTCCTAGCTCTCCCACCATGTAGGTCTCCGGCAGACACCCACCCATGTACCAGGGTTCTGATGGTGCCAGCCCCATCTTCCTGATAAGGGGAAATTTCTGGACCAGGATGAACTGGACCTACCATCCCCTTAATGCATTTTTCTCACAATCAGTTGAAACAAAGTTTGCAAGTCATTAAGTTCAAGTTCAGTGTTATGGATCAGAACAGTTTCATTGTTCACCTACCCAGCCCCAACTCCAGTATTGAAATATTGTGTGTCTAAGTGACACATTTGACCAGAGCATAAAAAATAAAGAAATAAAATCTACTTGGCTTTTATAAATGTAAGGCCAGTTTCCAATTGGGCACCGAAGAGTACCTAATTATGTAATAAGAAAAATAAATGTATTTCCTTTCTCATTAACATTTAAAAAATTGGAGGGGAGAAAAAATTCTTGGAGAAGCGGATCCATTAAAAGCTTAAGTATCTGGCTGTGTGAACCATTTTCCCTGTTTTTTAACATCCTGGCAAAAAGGTGGGGTGGGCTTTTATTAAATGGTGCACATTTAACTTAAGTCCTTTCCACTTGAGGCCCTTAGGTTTGTTTTTAATATTTATGGATATAAAACAAAGGGGGGGGGAGCAGGCTAAAATAATTTAAATTAGATAAACATTTCAAAAATGTTACAGTTTTTTTCCAGTGCGTGATATATTTAATCCAGAAGCCAAGTGTATGGAAACATGATTTTGTTTTAAAAAAAATACACTGTCAGGTGTCCTGATACTGCAGTATCAGTTATTTTGTTTTAGAATAGTATTTTCTATAAATAAATATTGGGTGAAGTAAATGAAAGTAACCTTGACTTTTGGAATAAGGGTGCAGTGCTTTGTGTATGAGTTGTTGAAACAGCATACCCTTTCATGCATAAGGCGGAAAGGTTGAAACTTTTGAAATCCTTCTCCTTAGCTTCTTTTCATACTCATCCATTACAGGATCTGCTGAAACACACCAACTTATTCAGCGATCTCATTGATGCAACATACAGGTGGTTTCACTTCTCTTTCCCGGTGAAGTGCTAGCATGAGGTGAGAGACAGGACTTACTCAGTTTTGCAGAGCTTTGCACTGCATAGGTGCCTATTGATTCCTGGCAGCCACAGGCCTTTATGTAAAGAAATTCATTGTAGTGTAGTAAAAAGCAAACTCTAGGCAGGTTTTCTTTTCACAGTGGATAAAGCCAAATTTTGAATTTTTCTTGCCAAAACCCCTTGTTGATAGCTCTGGTGTTGGTGTCCTATATGATTTGGGTTTATATATGTCTGTGTAACTTGTATCCTGTAATAGTTTTGAGGTAAAACTGATAAAATTGTCTCGTAAAGACAAGTACTTAGCATGTGACTTTTTATTATCAAGTCTTTCAAGAGTGGGGTCTATGTGTTGATTTATAGGATGGAGAACATTTAAGGAGTCCCAAAAATGTGAATAAAGTACACCTGAAATATCAGGTGTATCTTAAATTGATGGGAAGTGAGAGAAAGAGGGAAAGAGATTGTTTTTTGCTAATGTGTATCAAAAGTTTGTGTTCTTCATCTCAGTATTGTTATTTCTGCCAGTATTATAAATATGTGGTTGACCCATCCTGTCAAATATAAAAACATTCTGGAAAGTGGCTGTAAATTTTTTGTGCCAACTGAAAAGTTCCTTTTTGTTTAGCATCATCTTTACCTCAGTCCTACGATTCGTTCCTCTTGAGAAGATTTTAACTTGTCTTGAAAAACCAAATGTGGAGTTAATCAAGTCTGATGAACAATAACAGGACAACTTTTTGAACATCGTTCCTGAATCCTTTAGATTTAGTTGCAAAACCCTTTAATGTTTCATACCAGAACAAGACCTTCAGATGGCTTGTGCTCAGTAAAATTTCATGTGAACTGTGATGTTGTGTATATGTGACTCATACAACTTTGACATGTTTCAGTGCAGTTTAATTTTATTATTAAATAGCTTCTTCATGCAAATGCAAATTTTATATTAAAATATTGTTTATTTGTATTGTAATTCATTGTAAAGTTGCCTCTTTGTAATAGTCTTATTAATTATTTAGCCCACCAATAGAATCATTATTCTCTTTATACTTTGGCTTCCTCAGATAGCACCTGCAACAGCTGGAATTGGAAATCAAAATTTGAGTTTCAAGCAGTGCATTGCCTATATTAGAAATTTATCACAAAAGTGTACCTAATCCTTGATCTTTTATTTTATTGTATGTTTCCATTTGCATCAAAACTTAATGATAGTAATAACTAGGTAAAGCAAAGTTTTACTTTGTTCACATGCTTATCATGTATTTTCACACAAGTCATTTGCCCAGGCAGTGAAAAAATTTCCCCTATGCTTATCCTTCATTCAGTCTGTTCATTTTCATCCACTTTCTCTTTTTGACTATACTAGAGACTCTTAACCATCTTTTTGACTAGATGTCTTTTAGCATCTCTGAAAAGTGCAGAAAACCAAGACCATGTTCAAAAGTCTAAGGGCTCCTCATTGTCCCAGCCCATTGTGCTATAGAAAATCATTGTGCTCACATTTCAGGTCTCTCTCTGGAATGACTTCTGGGGTGGCTGCGGCTGGAGTAGATGGCAAAAGATGCTCCCAATCGTTCAAGCTTGTTCTCCATTTAGAAGACTGGTCTACACCTAACGTTTCCCACTCTAGAGCAGTGAGGTGACTCTTTCAAACAGCCTCGGGGACTGAAATATAAGAAATTAGACTTTTTACTTTTGAAATATGGTCAGCATTATGTAGAAGGAAGAAAATGCTTTAACTTCTATGCTGCCAGTGTTAAAGAATATAACTCAGAGTGTTTACTATCTGTACAAAGAGAAATACCTGTTTTGTGGTATCTCAGCCTACATGAATTTTATTATACATCCTGGGTGGGTAGCAAACCGCAGCTTTTGAAGCCCACAACCTCTGAATTGCAAAATGAAGTTTCCTCCTTTTTTTGAGATTTATTTATTTATGCATATAGAGCTGGGGTACAGGCCAGAGGTGCAGGGGCGAGAAGATTAACCAGAGACAGAGTGGGGAGCAGGACAGGCATATGTACTGAAATACTTTGCTGAGGGGAGCAGCAGGCAGGTCAGGAGAGGTCTGCCACTCCATATGGGTCATTTACGGGGCAGGAATCGAAATGCTAGAGTGGCTTTAGCTTCTTAGTGTTGTGCTTTAAGGTGCTGCACCACCAAGGGAGAGCCCTGAAGTTTCCTCCTCTAGCCCAATCTGAAAGGCTTTTTGGGAAGTACCCTACAAAAGCAGAAATTCTTTCTTACAACATGTAGATTTACTGATAATATCTGTAGTCTAGGATGTGGAACTCGCCAGGGCTTTAAGAACAAGAATTTTATTACTTTTTGACAGCCCACATCAGGTATCCCATTCAGTAGTAACTCCAAGCAGATTTTTCTGGAATACAGTTCAAATGTGGCTTTGCTGCCTAATGTGCCTTTTAAAGGTATTTAGCTATTTTTGTCCCAATCGGAAAGAGCACAGAGAAGCTTTCTTGGGCGATTTTAAAGTTCAGCTGCCAAGAGATCCTCAGCATTATTTCTATTCACATTTCTAATGACAGGACGTAGTCACAGGATCCTACCTAGCCAAAAGGGAGGTTGGGATATGTGATGCTGAGATCTAGCATCTTCACCACAATGACTGTCTCACCTACCTTTGTACCTTAGTGCCTTCAAAGAGTAAGTTCCTGTGGACTGTTACTGTGAATGCACATGGCAGAAGGGACTATATGGACCAATGCTGCTAGTTTTCCACCTGGACTTGACTATTGGCATTCAAGGTAATAGTTTCCAAACCTTAAGTAGTATATTCTCATAGAGTTTATATTGTATTGCGGAAGATGAGCCTTAAGTGAAATGAATCACAAATGGGAAAGTTAAGAGATGGGGTATGAGTTTATAGAAAGGACCTGCTCGAAGCTGAGATTTTAGATATGACCAGGAGAATGTGATTAGGCGTTACTGAGGCTGAGGCTGAGGCAGAGTTGCATTTGGGACCCCTCAGATATACAAAAACAATCTTGAAGCTGCATGTCTGGAAAAACAGGTTTAGCATTTACTTCAGTGGGTACTTTTTGCTGAGCCAGTAGGGTAGATTTCTGAGCTTCATTTTCCTGTTGTATGAAGTGATGGCATAGGTTTCTTAATAATCTTTGCATGAACTTTTGCTCCTGCTTCAATATCTAATTAGTAATTTATAGAATTTCAAAACTTTAAGTGAGATTTCAGTGAAAAGAATTGTTTAATCATATTAACCCAGATTTATACTGTAGAAAGACATGCCTTCAGAATATGTTTATTGTCACTGGTTTGACATATAATTCCTAAAATTATTCATTATATTTAGTTGGTAAAGACCATGGAATCAACCCAGAGTGTGTCTGTGCCCCAAAGAGAAGATCTGCTGGGTTCACAAAATTAGAGCTGTCACTATGTTGTGTGTGTGTTTCTGTCCTTCAAATTTTAGATCCAGTGCAATAAACTGCAATCCTGAGTCTCAATTTATTAGTCTTAGAAATCAGAAGTTATGGGTTCATCATAGATTTTAATTTTGATTAATAATATTAATATACAGAGTATTCAGAACTTTTCATAGTTCTGATTATTCCATACTTGGGAACCAGCTTCTGGGGCAAAGCTATACATGGCTATACTATGACACCAATTTATTTGACCCTCTCCAAAAGCTGTAGACTCTGGGGAAATAAGAATTTGCTCCTAACGGAGGAAGTTGTTCTTGTTTTTTTTTTTTTTTTTTAAAATTTTTATTTATTTGTACATACAGAACTGGGGTACAGGGGTACAGGCCAGAAGCTCAGGGGTGGCGAGAGGCTTCACCAGAGACAGAGTGGGGAACAGAATAGGCAGATCGAGGGAGTACACTGCTGAGGGGAGCAGCGTGTGGGTCAGGAGAGGTCTGGCTCGCCATGTGGTCACCTCCGGGGCAGGCAGGAATCGAACTCATGCGGAAGTGGCTTTAGCTTCTTAGTCTGTGCTTTAACCTGCTGCACTACCAGGGAGGGCTCAGAAAGTTGTTCTTTTAATTGGCATCTCATTTTTCTTGTATGCTTTTTAACATATATGAGTAATATTTCCATTTGTGTTAAAACTGTAGATCTGTTTGTAGAAAGACAGGTTCCTTACCTTGGGAGTATAGCACAGTACTTTCAAGTAGGTTAAAGTAATTACCAACAAATGTTTAACTACTTTAACCTGTTACTGTGAATGGACATGGCAGAAAGGGGACTGTATGGACCAATGCTGCTAGTTTTCCACTAGGACTTGATTATTGGCATTCCAGGTAATAGTTTCCAAACCTTAAGTAGTGTATTCCAATAGAGTTTATATTGTATTGTGGAAGATGGGCAAAGTAGGTTAAAGTAGCTGCCTCAAGAAATCGTTATGTCCATCACTTTCCTTGAGCAGGGAGAACCATCTCATTCATATTATGCAATTTTCTGCAAAATGGTGATTTAAAGGCATAACCAGGTCAGAAGAGATTTAACGTATATCACTCCCAAAAGGTATATAGTTCTTCTTTCACAAGTTAGTGATGTGAATCTCTGAGTTTTCAAAATTTATTTGACAAGCAATTCTGTAGAATAAGAAATTTGGAAACACTCCCACTACAAACTTAGAAATGTTGACTAAAATGTAGTTGAGATATTTAAAAAGTAGTGTTGATCACAAAAGGAAAGAAAAATTCATAGGAGCAAAAAACCTTGTGGTGACTAAATATGACCTGATACTAACACTGCACTCATAGGTGGTAATGATGGTGGTGTTTCCAGAGTATTTCTAGTTCTTGCCTGTCCCTTTGAATGTTTTGGCTATGGAACATTCCTAGGGCAACTTTTCCGATAAACTTTAGTAGAAATACCAGGATGTTAGAAACATATCCCTGAGAATTGTCCAGTATTTGCTCTTGTATCACTAGAATGCAATCTATATCATCTCTGCACAGAGAAGATGCCTGAGCACACACCAGAGAAGGTCTTCCTGGGTTTGAATCACAGGTCCAGCACTTGTCAGTGGTGCCTTGCCTTCTCAGTGGGAATAGTATAGACTTTCACATCCAGTAATATGCATTATTGCATATATAATTTTAACCAATCCAATGAGGAAAGCCAGAAAAGTAGCCTTAAGTAAATAAGTAAGTGAATGTGAATGTTACGTGTTAATATATACTGAGAGAGAAAGAGAGTGCACACATGCGCTTGAAGACATACATTAGTTTACAAGGATCTGGTATACACAAATAGTGAAGGATTGCTAGGTCAGGAGTAGTGAAGGATCACCCAGTCAGGAATGGGATCCTAGTGTGGGACTACTTTTCCCTTGAGGACATTTTTGCTATTTTTTTTTTTTTTAAGATTTATTTATTTATTTGTGCATACAGAACTGGGGTATAGGCCAGAGGCTCAGGGGCGGTGAGAAGCTTCACCAGAGACAGAGTGGGGAGCAGAACAAGCAGATCTACGAAGTACACTGCTGAGGGGAGCAGCGGGCGGGTCAGGAGAGGTCTGGCTCGCCATGTGGTCTCCAGGGCAGGCGGCAGGCGGGAATCAAACTCATGCGGAAGTGGCTTCAGATTCTCAGTACTGTGCTTTAACCCGCTGCGCCACCAGGGAGGGCCCATTTTTGCTATTTTTAAGAGTGAGAATAGAATGTGTGTTGAGAATCAGAGTGATACATTTGAAAAGCCTTGACTTTTTGCAACTGAGGGAATAGGTATTGG